TCCGACTCTTCGTGACCCCATGGACCAGAGCATGCCAGGCCCTCCTGTCTTCCACTGCCTCCCATAGTTGTGTCAAATTCATGTTGGTTGCTTCGCAGACACTGTCCAGCCATCTCATCCTCTGTCATCCCCTTCTCCTCTTGCCTTCACACTTTCCTAACATCAGGGTCTTTTCCAAGGAGTCTTCTCTTCTTGCATATTATCTCACTAATCTCAAGAAGGAATCAACCAGTTTCATCCTCATGAACAGAATATCTTGGTTAAGGCTGTCCTGTTTTTCACAACATGCTATGTAAAGTCAGTATTTCACTTCACTATATTTTTAGCCATATCTCTGGAAGTGTTCTTTTCATAACTGCCCTGTAAGTTTCCTTTAAGGCATCTGGTTGAGCAGTCCAGGAAAGATGACCCTGGACTGGATAAGCAATTCATCTGAAAGAACATGGTTCTCCTTAGATCCCAAGGAATTTTCTTTTCAGCTCTCTTAATTTAATGTCTTTAAGCCATAGCTCCATACTTGACCCATAATGGTTAAACCTTGGGACTGAAATACATGCAGTAACAGAATCTTCAGAAAGATAAAGTCAACTTTTCCATTGCAGTGATATCTGAATATACAGTATGTGCTGGACTGGAGTGCCTGCTGCACTCCATTTAATTGAAGAACGTCTCAGCCATCACATGTTGAAATAGGAAACTAATACACAGTTTTTCCTTCTGAAGAGTGTTATAAACAATGTATTCATGAAGGCTTTCACAGTCGGGATCTAATGGTTGTTGTGGGTTTTTCAGGCTCTTCAGCACACAGCCAAAGAGCCTGAAAAACCCACAACAACCAGTGTTATAAACAGTTAGCAATTCAGCCTTTTAGTTGAGACAAAACCTTCACAAGTCTCTATCTCAAACTTCTCTCTCTCTCTCTCTCTCTCTCATCTTGTACTATTTGAAATCTCCATCAAAAGTAAAACATGCAGTGATCCACTCTGTCTCTTCTTTCCCTTTAATGGATGTTATTGGTTTCTCCAGGTAGGCCATACCTCGAAAATTGAAACTTTCAGATATATTAATATAACTGAAATGTAGGACTATCCCACATTTAGTCAACCTGGTCCACTTCACTAGACTTTTAAAGAAGAATCTCAGTATTATCAAGAGATGTTGAGGGTTGAATCTGGAACCTTCTCTGTTGAAAACATGTGGTCTTCCATCAAGCCATGATCTTTGTTGGGCCATTAACATAACCTCTGAAGGATGGATCTTCTCAGCTCTCCAGAACACAGTCAAACATCCTGAAAACTTACAACCACCACTGGATCCTGGCTGTGAAAGCCTTCGAGAACACATTGATTTTCTCAAACTTTGCAGAATGCGAGGACATGGGTTTTGTAGTGCTTGTTTCCCAGGGCTCGCAGGTGTTTCATCTTGGCCAGAGATCTAACTGTTGCTGTGAAGAAGAGCCAAGGCCATCTCTCAGGACTGATAAACACAACATCCTTGCTAATGGCCTGGGAATGAGAGATGGAGCTGTAGAAAGTTACA